GGTTCCAGGAGCAGGGGGGCTCCCGCGGGGACCCACAGCACAGACAGGTCACCCGTGGCCAGGCCACATCCAGGCAGAGCTGCTGCCCCCACAGACACAGCCCAGCCTGGCCCCCGGGAGGGAAGAACTGCTCCAGAAACCACAGACACAGAGACACGCGGCCTCAGAGCTGCGAAGAACACGTCTGCGAGCTCAAAGGGGGAGAAAAGCAGGAGGTTAAAGGCAACAAAGATACCCCAACTTGGAGATTCCCCCGCAGCTGCCTGCAGCAGGAACCCCAGCGACCTCGTGCAGCAGGAGGGGAGAGAGAAAACCGGGACAAAAGAGAAGCAGATGCACCCAGAAGCTGATGTGCAAGATAAAGCCCCTCTTCCTGCTTTGCATACCAAGAGCCTCCATCTGTCAGTGACAGAGGGTTTCAGAGGTCACCACCAAGGGACATCCAAAGATTACCTAACCAGCATACAAAAGCTTCGAGAGAGCAAGAAGCAGATGGCTCTAGTTTCTGAGCCCATCCTGAATGTGAGGAGGGACAGGGAGCTGGCCCTGCACCAGTTCTTGCTCCACACCTCCAAAAGCCAACCCATCTGTCAGTCCCAGGCCTCTGGCAGGAGCACACAGGCAGGTGCCCTGGGCTTGGAGTGGTTTCCAGACTTGTATCCTAATTATCACAGGCTGAGTATTTTTCCTGGGAAGACTTTCCAAGAAGATGTGGGGGTCACAGTGAAGACACCAAAGGGCAGTTTCTCAGAGGGACAGCAAGGTAATGAGAGAAACAAGAGTCTCTGCTGCTGAGATTTGCTGTGCAGTCAGGCTGAACTGTCCCATGTCAGTGGGAGAGGAGGGGTAGGAAATGTTCAGCTGCTGGGTTTGTGCAGAGAGTGATCCAGGAAGGATCCAAAGAGGCAAACTGCCCAACCCTCCAGCCTGCAAAACCAATGGTTTACATTCCTGCTTAGGTTTGAGTCAGGCTCTTGCATGTTTGGGCTGGTGAAGCCAACTCACTTGGTGGGAGAGACAATTCCCTGTTGGAGCAGTCAGTCCCAAGCCCAAGTAACTCACAGCTGTGACAGAGACCAGCTCCATGCTCACCACAGGGATCACAAGCACCACATGTTGCCCTCACTTTCCTACCTTTGACCATCTTCTCCCCACACAGGTCCCCTCTCAGGAAGGCATCTGCTGGATGTCAGGCTGGGAGAGCTGCCTGCCTGGCTGGCCACCTGTGACTTTTCTCCCCAGAGTCTTCTTGGAGGAGTGCAGAAAGGTGAGGCTAAATTCCTGGATCTTTATAAAGAAGTAAATAAATCAACCCAACCATTTTGCTTTGAAAATTTACCTGGAAACCAGTGAGCTCCCAAGACCTGTGTGTGATTTGACTCTTGTATTTCTGTTCCAACAGCCTGGAGCAGCTATTACAATAAATACATCAACGTGAAGAGGGGTGGACCAGCTGGGATCTCCATGCTGCTGGCTGGATACTGCCTCCTCAGCTATGGCTGGAACTACCAGCACATCAGTAAGACTTCCTTCTTGGTATCTTGTAATTTCAGGAATTGTCACTTTTGCAGCAGTTGGGAAATCTATTTGCCATCTCTGTTAATTTGAGCTCTGAAATAGTTTAAATACTTGACAGTTAAGACTTTTATCAGAGCTGAGAGAAGAGTGTTCTGAGCTGGCTTAGGTTGGGCAGAGGAATTTAGCTAATAAAGGTGGCAATAACAGTTACTGATTCACAGCTTCACCCTGGAGAGCACTGGAAATGGTCAGCAGCACTTTTAAACCCTTCACAAAGCAGAAGGAGGAGATTTTCCAAACACTAAACACCCAATTCCCTGGATTTCCTCATAACTGACAAGGGATTTCCTGCTGTTTGGGTTGTTTCCCCAGCAGGACTCGCTCTCACACACAGCTCTACAGCACAGAGAAGGCTGCAGTCACTCCTGCTCATCACTGCTGGGCAAAGCACACACGTGGTCCCTGAGCAGAGTGCTCTGCTAACACTGCTCTGGGTTTTTATCCCCTCTCTGCTTTTCCAGGGTGTCATCGCTGGCGTAAGTACCACTGAAGAAGCTGGAGCAGTTGTGAATGTGTGACTGGAAGTCAGCAGAAGTGCTCAGAACCAGCGTCCTAACAGGAATTCCAACCAGCAGAGGCCTGTTTACAGTCAGAGACAGGTTCTTAAATTGCTGAGGGGTGCTGCTTTTTGGTTAAAAAGAGCCCCCCCAGCCCCTGCTTTGCTGTCAGCACAGCACTGGTGGGACTTGCCCAGGCTCTGGGGGGGAAGGACCTTGTGAAGACATTAAAGCAGCAGCGCTCAGACCACGGCGCCCTATTTCTGGAGGAAGAAGAATCCATTGGCTGAGCTGTTGTGCCCAAAGGGCAAACCCATGTCTGCATCAGACAAACAAGGACAGTTAGGAGAGTGCTAGTTGTAGCCTGTCATCACCAAACATGTCTGGAAAAGGGTTGGTCATGTTACTGGCATAAATATTTGGGTTTTTTTTTTTTAAAAAAAGCCAAAGGAAAACCCAAATCTGAACTCTTTATTCAGAGAGCAGTGCAGTGTCAGGGGTGTTTCACCACAAACTCCCTCTCACCAGCAATAAAAGCCTTTGTGAGTTTTCCTTTCCTGCTTGATACTGTGTGTTCTGAAACGTGGTGCTTCTTGCCCCCCACTACCCCCCCTTCACAGGGGATTAAAGTGTTTACACCTGCCCAGTCACAAACTGGTCCCACACCCCTTCAAACCTGTGGTGGCTGCCCCAGTCCATACGCAGCCGTGCAGGAGGGAACAGGCAGCTGTGCAGAGTCCAACTGGAGTTGCAAGAAGCTGTGATTTCTCTGCTGTGTGTGTGCAAAGAGCTGTGAGAGCTGGTGCTGAGTAAAACCAACTGGCTTTTCTAGTCCAACAAGTGCCCCAGTAGCCGTCTGGCTGCCTCCATCGCGCTGTACAGCGTCCTCCTCCCCTTATCCAGGCAGCAGCACTCGAGTCACTTCCCCAGCAGAGTTTCCAGCTGAGTCCTCCCACACTTACTGGTGTAGTGACCTTTCTGTCCGCACTGGGGGAACAGGGAGAGGCAGACATCAGGTTTGTGCTGGATCAGCCCAGTGCTGAATTACCACGTGTTCATTCTCACATCCTTTCCCAGCGACTGGGCTGATGGAGCTGTGCCTGGTGCCAGCACAACTCCCAGCTGCAAGCAGCATCCTGAGACCTCCAACTGCACCAGACCCCCAACCCAGGGGGGTGTGAGGGTCTTGCTGCTCTCCAGGGCTGTTCCACTGCCAAGTGTTTATTACCACTTGTAAGTCCTTTCTCCCTCCCATCACTTGCAGTCAGATTGAAGTACAACCTCCTTCCCACCACTTCACACCTCAGCTGCCCGGGGAAAAGGGGGCAAGAAACACAGCAGAGCAGGGAGCAGACAGACATCTGGAGTCAAGGAAACCATTTTGAGAGCACTGTGGGAGTCCCCACACCACATCCTGCCCCTCACCATAGCGCTTTACCCTCCCTCCAAGGTGTGACCATTGCTCCCAGCCCCAAAAACACTCACCTGGCAGCAGGACCCCTGTTCTAGCAGGCTCTGTGGGCTTGGGGGGCAGCTATTGGTGTCCCAGAGTTGTGCTGCCAGGTGCTGGGTAACCCCAGTGCCCACCAGCTCCTTGGATTGGGATATGCCAGCAGGAGCTTTTTGGGATGTGGAGGAGATTTGGCTGGTGACTGGTAGTGGGGACTCCATGGGTGGCACATCCTTGCATCCACTCTCCTCACCAGCAGCCAGATCCAGCTGTAGCAGCCCCAGAGGACAGCCAGCGCCCTGGGGGGAAATGGGGCAGGAAGGACAGTTGGCAGCTGCTGTCCCACAAGCTCCCACATGATCTAGGGCAGGAGTAAGGGAAGTAAGAGCTGTGGGGTAAGGGCAGCTGGTGCATCACCCTGATGGGCTGAAGCACAGAGCAAAAGGGCTTGAGCTGAGGAGAGAATGGCATCCTTCCCTGCATCACCTTGGATGGATCCATGCTGCTTGTCATCACCCTGGCCTTGAGGCTGGAGAGGGACACAGAGCACAGGCAGTTAGTCCCTGCTGGGACATGGCAAGTGGTACCCCCAGATCCATCCCTGTGGCTCCCACATTCTCCCAGGGCTGTCCCAGGCAGCTGGTACGGGCATCCCCATGGGGATCAGGGCTGTCCCCTGCCCACCCGCTGTAAACCCTGAGGTCACCAGCTCAGGTTGGATATGAGTAGAAACCAGAGGGTTTCAGGTAGTTCAGACAAGGACCTAAAGTGTCCATGTCCTTGACCCAGATGCTGCAAGAGCCACGGCCACCTCTGCAGCCTCAGAGAAGGGGCTGTCCCCCCGCTGTGTGCCGGGCTCCCCCCAGCCTGCCCCGTACATACTGCATGAATTTGCACTTGGGTCCTTCTGGGCAGAAGCCAACGAGGTAGTTGTCACACATCACCCTCCTCGTGTGCTTGTACTTGCACAGGGGACCTGCCAGGCAGAGGAGAGGTTCTCCTTCGTGGTGACACAGCACCACACAGCCCTGCCCCATAGGGATTTTGGGAGCCCAGCTTTCCCCAGCAGCCCCATTCCTCTTCAGCTTCATGGGGGTCTTTGCTGCCTCAAGCCCAAATCCCCACTGGGCACCCAGTCCCACCCCCAGGCAGTCCCCAGACTGTGGTGCACCCGGCTCTGGAGGTGGAAGGAGGTTGAGCCAACAGCAGAGTCCAGACCCCACATCACCAGTGGATGGGGAATCCCCTCTGCTCACCCCAGCACCCACCGTGCCTGCAGAAGCCACGGTCATACGAGGGACAGCCCATGGTGCTGGTGGTGGCATCAATGTGCAGGAAGGGACAGTCCTTGTTGCTGCACTCACCTGTGAGAGCAAGAGGTGGGACAATGTTCACTCAAGCCAAACACAGTGGAAATCACTCAAGAATGGGCTGGGTGGGAAGAACCGAGGTGCTCAGGAGCACCCAAGTTTGGCTTGGAGAAGAGTGGCCCTGGGTGGGTGCCAGTGGTGTTTCTTCTCACAGACAGGAGGTGGCATCAGGCACTTGCTCGAGGCCAGACCCAAGGGACGTGTGCTGGGGTGGGAAAGGCTCACTGGGGACCTCAGCCCAGTCCCAAACCTACCGAATTTGGAGTAGAAATAACACTCGGGCATCTTGGTCACGTTGAACTCGTGCAGGAAGTCGCACCCATCGCCCTCCTTGCAGAGCCCACGCAGCCAGTGCTTGCACACCACTGTCTTCTCCCCACGGACGTGCTGGAAGGGACACTGCACACCTGGCCACGCCACACACCCACGGTCACAGCCTGCCCATGCCCCAAACCCCCCTCCATCACAGCACCCCCAGTCCTACCTGCACCCAGGAACCCCCCCCAACCCAGCACCCACCAGCTCCTTGGCTTGGGACATGCCAGCAGGAGCTTTTTGGGATGCGGAGGAGATTTGTAGCACCCACTGGGTGCACAGGGCTTGGTCCCCAAGGCACTGCCAAGGTCTGGTTGCCCTGGAGGTGTCTGGGCTCTCCCTGGAGCAGAAGGGAAGGGCAGGAGAACTCATCCAAAGGGCCAGGGGAACAATGGGCTCGGAGCAGTGTTGGTGTTTTGGGCCAGAACCTGCCAACCCACTGGTCACAGAGCGATCTGCCACGGAGGTGAGGTGGTCATGGGGTGGAGAGGGGCCCCATCCAGCTCCCTGGTGCCCCCAGGATCTTGTAGGGTGGGGTTGGTCCTATCCCTTTGCCACACTCACCCTTGGTGCACAGCCCTCGGTGGAAGAACTCGCAGACGGCTGCTCCCAGCTCTGCAGGGGAAAGCAGGGCAGGGAGAGCTTCACCCACCAACCCCAGGACCACCAGGCTGTCAAGGGCAAGAACATCCCAGCCCCCATCCACTGGCAGCCCCCCACAAAGCTGTGCCAGATGCATCCCAGAGGGAGCAACACCCAGAGCCAGCCTGGCCTCGAGCAGGAGCCCAGCGTGGAGGCAGGACAAGAAGCACCCAGGCATTGTGGTGGGTGCAGCAAGAGCCAGGAGCACCAGTAAGGAGAAGAACCCCAACACCTCCTACACCCCTGTCACCCTCCAAGGATGCCATGGAACCCTGTCCCCAACTTACTGTCCATACCCAGGAAGGGCAGTGGCTGAGCTCCTCGCTGCTGCTCCACATCAACCTCCAAATCAAACCTGATCTTCTCCACACCAGCCACCAGCTCCTGCATCACTCCTGCTCCAGAAAGAGACACTTCCAGCCCAGCACAGGCAGGGAGCACGGCTAAAAACAGGGCTGCCAGTGGGGTTGTCCAAGGGAAGCACAGGTCTCCCAAGGAAACACCATGCTCTGCAGGTCACTGCAGCCAACCCACACCCCAACAGCACTCAGAAAACTTTTCTTCTTCCTTTTTCCCCTCTTTTCTTTTTCTTCTTCTTTTCTCCTTCTCCTTCTCCTCCTCTCTGAGCCAGAGCAAAACCAGCCCAGGCAGCAGCCCCGAGTGCTCCATTTAGAGGGGGAAGCTGCCCACATCTGATCTCAATTTGCAGCCGTGATTGCCTGGTGCCCCAGCCCAGCTGCAGGGAGCTCAGCCCTGGCCCCCCCATCTCATCCCCCCTCATTGCCTCTCTGCACCGACATCTGCTTTTCCTCCAGCCCAGCTCTGGGGCAGAGCAGCTGGTCCATATCTCCCCAGGAGCTGTGGGGTCTGCTGGGGCTGCCTGGGAGCTGGATTAACCCTCTCACACCGGGGCTGCTGCTCAGTGTTAAACACAATCTCAGAATCCCAGAACTGCCTGGATGGGAAAAGCCCTTTGAGCTCATCGAGTCCAACCATGAACCCAACACTGACAAGTCCCCTATGACTAACCCATGTCCCTCAGCACTGTGTCTACACGACTCTTCAATCCCTCCAGGGATGGGGACTCCACCACTGCCCTGGGCAACCCCTTCCAATGCCTCAGAACCCTTTCAGCAAAGAAATTCTTCCTCACATCCCATCTCAACTGCCCTGGCCACAACTGGAGCCCATTTCCTCTTGTCCTGTCCCTTGTTCCTTGGTTGAACAGACCCACCCCCACCTCTCTCCACCCTCCTCCAAGGGACTTGGACAGAGCCAGAAGGTCTCCCCTCAGCCTCCTTTTCTCCAGGAAACAGCCAGACATGGCCTGAGTGCTGTAATCAATGCCGGGATAACAAGGGATGGATCCCGCATGGGGTTTGTTGCGCTCAGAGTGCTTTGAGCATCGCTGGGGGTTTGCAAACACACCAGGCTGCAGCAGCACGTGCTGGGCACAACCTTGCTACTGATGGAGGTCCACCCAGAAGAGACCCCACAGCCCCTGGGTTTCACAGAATCACAGACTGGTGGGGTTTGGAAGGGACCTCAGGAGATCATCTAGTCCAACTCTCCTGCCAAAGCAGGTTCCCTACAGCAAATGCTTTTAATGGCTGGTTAAAATGTTTTGCCCCAAAATTGTAAATAAAAAAAGTGGGAGCCTGTCCCAGGGCTCCAACACCCTCACAGTAAATTTTTTCCTCATGTTTAAGCAGAACCTCCTGTGTTCCAGTTTGTGCCCACTTAACCCAGCGCTCGGTCCCTCCTCCATCACGCGGCTCCCGCAGCCCCGCGCGCCCTGACACGCGCCTGGAGTGACACGGCCTGACACATCGGGGATGGAGACCTGCTCCCATTCTGTCACTAGCTATAAATGCACTGGACCAGTGCTGTGTCCCTGCTGGAGCGCTGCCTGCGGGTGCTGCAGCCGCTGCCCTGCGCCGGGTGCTCAGCATCGACCCAGCACCGATCGGTCGTGCCGGC